GCTGTCACTTTTGTTATTTCCTCACCTCACATGTGAAAGCTCAGCCTTCACTTTACACCATTGCTTTTTATTTCTTACTTATTCTTCTACTGCAGAACTGATGTTCCTCCATAATAAGTATTGTATGAAAATCCATATTTTTGTATAAAAACAGTGATGCCATCAAGAAGACAAGGTGCCTTTAAGGTCTCATACTTGGTCTCGGGAAAAATGGCATTTGCAAACATGTTTTTTACCCATTTCTAGTAGATTAATGTTTTAAAATTTCTTTCCTCAAATGACTGGTATTCTAAAAGCCAAGGCTGAAGAAGGTCTTTTGCTTACTACTTACAGAGGAAGAGAAAGATGATCGTGGTAAACTAAAAATGGGAAAAAGAGCAAACAAAATATAACAAAACAGAACACGTAGTCTCCATCCTTTTGAAAAGTGAAGCAGTATAATTAACATTTCTCTTTTTCTCTGGGTTGATAACCAAATGTCTGATAGCAAAGCAAAATGAGATAGCACTGCCAATAATGGCAACCATAGCTTGCTACTGTTTCTGAACTCATACAACTATGTCTTAAATGACAGTGGCCAGTTAGTATGAGGCAGGCCAGGCTAAACAGAGAGATAAATCACGCATACAATTTTTTATGTTGCCCTAAAAAAAGTTCTTATGAAACTAGAATATGGAGTGTAGAGCCTATTAATACTCCTGTTCTTCATTTCAGATATGGTTGACAATTAGTAGGCACTGTAGTAAACATTTCTTCCCATTTGTGTAGATACATGTATAATATCTAAGCAGAACCACAGTTAAAACAAGCTAATTGAATAGTGGCAGACAATGTGGTTTTGCTGAGATTTCTTTAGTACATAGTCTGAATATGTAAGACACAACACCCACTCCACAATCAGCAGCAAGGATGAGTGGCTCTACATCTTATTATAGACTGCACTATTCTCCAATGTTTAATTGCATTTTTGCACCATGGTTTACAATCTGCTTGAACTCAGAGTGACATATGAGTCATACGTGACATCTGAGAATAGCTTCTGCTTGTGAATCATACACAAAACTGGGGATATTCCTTCTATGTACTTGAATGAAACCACAGTCGAATCGGGCAATATTTTTATTTATTTCAGGAAAACAGGAAACTATTTCTCACTGTTCACAGAGAAACGTAAGTGACAGCCTTTACAAAATTAAACTCTCCTTTAGTCTAGATATTATTATGCAGCACAGAGTAAGTGCCCAATGTAGAGTGGTGGTATCAGGGAATCTCTCGTACTTGCTGACAATTGTAGATTGGGAAATGGGAGAGAGTGGCATCAAAAGCATTAGCAACTCTTCTTTTCTTACAAGCAAACAGCACCAGTGGTGCAAAATTAAAAGAAAAAATGTTGTACCTTGGATGTTCTGTCCCACATGCTATGCTAAACTTGCAGGTAAGTACACATAAGTGCTGACAGATACTCCCTAAGTCTGCCACGTGACTCTGTGAGGATATTCTTAACAGTCCTGCAGATATCATTCCACAGTGTAAACTTGGTACATTTTTTTTTCATTTATTATTTATTAACAAAGTAATTGGCTTTATCAGTTAACTTTCTGAATGTGCATGCTTTCTTGATTTCCATAGATGATAATACAAAGGTGGTACCATGGGCTTGTAGGTCACTACACTGAACAGTGCTTAATCACTTCAACTTTAATGATCTTTGTTCATTACAAGATAATTCCATATCTATATTTGATCAAACACTACATCATTTTGGAAGCTCCGCAACAACTCCCAGCTGGAGTTTTCTCATATTTGCCAATTTTCTTCTCTTCACACCAGAAAAATTCTTTATCATTCAATTATCTGCTTTTCCCACAATATCTCTCAATCTGATGTTCCTACCCAGTCTAGTGTCTGGTTTAAACCAAGTTATATTATTGAAAGCCTACTGCAGTCCTTTACGATACTGAGTTCTAACAATCACCATGCTTGCATGCTTATTAAGGCCAAGAGGAATTACTGCTTATAATTTGTACACTAAGTTGAAATTTGAAAGAAAAAAAAAGGGAACTCTGACTCCTGAACAATGTGGCACATTTCTAGAACAGTTTTCCTCATGCTAAATTATTTTGTTATTTTGAGTCACATTTCTTGGACTTAGACTGGATGTTCTGAACAATCAGACCTGTTCATTCACGGATCTCTGACCTCAACCCTAATACATTACCATAATGTGGAATTTTACTATCCAAAAGAAAATAAACAACAACAACAAAAAACAACAAGCAAACAAACAACAACAACAAAGGAAAATAAAAAGAAAATAGAGGAGAGGAGAAAGAAAAAGGAAAACAGGGGAGGAAAAATATTAAAGCTTCTCTTTCCTCCAATTAATAAAGTTAAATCCATGATTGCTCCTGTTAAAGTAGGAATGTGTTTGGTGGGGAGCTGACTCTTGGTGGTTGAAATATATAGGGCAGAGGAAGACAAATTTGCATTTTTAAGCAAATTAGATAATATATCTATATATATTAATAATACATTTAAAATCTATCCCACATATTTTTCTTGCCATTTTCAAATAAACTTTATGAATTTCCTCTTCTGCTGGTAATCAAGCATGTAAGGAATTATGAAATGTGAGAGCATCTGAAACAGTAAATTACCTGGTTAAAGGTTAATCAATATAACAGAAATAGAAAATAAAAAGGAAAACAATAAAGTCAGCACAGAAGCACAGAAACCAGAGGACAGTGGAGGCAATGATGAAGACCAGGACTCAGATGAATGGGCCATTAAAGGACTGGATGCAACTGCTTTGAGAAGGGTCAAACAGCTTAGCAACAGACCATAAGGGGGGAAAAATATCACCACGAGAGTTATAGGCTTCATGAAACTGCAAAACTAATTATGGAGTATCAGAAGAAACTTCTAGAATTACATAAACTTTATTACAAGATGTTTATGGAAAGGGCTAAAGGGAAGGATCAAGGAAGAAACATGACAAAATGGAGAGGAGAAAGCAGTCCAGTCCTCTATAGTATCAGTAGTAGATCAGTATGCTAGAGACCCTGGGTTCTCTAGATACCACCACAGGCTGGCCTAAAGGAACCAGGCTGAAAGACTCCCCAGCCCTGAAGCCTGCTGGATTTGGTACCTCTTGTGACATCTTGTAAAATCCTTAACACCAGAAACTGAAATACCTATCTGACCTAATTTAATTATGATCTGTATCTACCAGTGTAGCTAGAATCCAAATATTTGTTATGCCCAAGGTAAGCTTCTTGGCCTTTGTGCCTGATTTGCCAGAAATACTGTTTTAATCATCAGGAAAAAAAACAACTAATCATTAACACCTGCAAATACTTCAGAATCTAGTAGCAAATATATTAAGGAGCACAGCTAAAGAATCTAATAAAATCTGATTTTACTTCAGAGAGACTCAAAGGGGAGGAATAGTGGGAAATATTTATAGAAATGAAGAATGTATGTAAAATATGAAAAAACAGTATTGCTTTAATGTTTGCTATTACACAGAATCAATAAAGTGTAATCAGCTGTAATACTGCAGTTTAATTAGGCATGGGAATCAAAGGCAAATATAAAAATCATTTTCCCTGAACAGATGTCTCTGACTGTCTGTATCTCAACTTACGAAAATTCAAGCTTTGTACCTATCAGATTTTTGTATTCTAGCTGTTTAATCAAACCAGAATTTCTTAAATGATTATAGGATCATGCATTTTAATACAAAATTCGCATTTCAAGCAATCAAAAAATAGTTACTGCAAGGAAAGTCTGGAACTGCAGCATCTGAAAATAATTTACAAAGCAGAGAATTTATTACCTAAAACATTAGACAAACAATTATATAATGATGCAGTACATTTCCAGAAAGAAAAAAAATAGACATTAGATTACTTACTATGAGATCAGAGAACAATTCAGGTATTTTTTGCATTGGTACTTCAGTAGGTCCCTGTTTTCATGATATCTTAACACTGCTAATTATATTTTAAATGGTCAACAGAGTCATTACATATGTAGCTACTGCTCCTGCAAATCTTTCTCACATACTTAACATATTAATACTTTTCTATTTTTTCAGAATAGAGATTTAGCAGTGATAAAATAGTTCAATACAACACAGATTTTATTTAAAAACATTTACCATACCTGATATGAACAATTAACCTTTTTTAATTATTAAAGTTTTGGTTTTTTTTTTCTTGCTTTTACACTTCAACATTTTGTTTCATTTTCAATGTGGAAGTTCCAAATGAGATGAAAAATACATTTCAACTTGATTTCTAGCAGAGATCAAGTAAAGTTTTGGAAGTCTCAGAGGAATTTTCCTTGTAACACATCTTTCCATTGTGATTCTCTTGCTTTTGCATTCCTATCTTTAAAAGAGATGCAGGCATCAATTGAATAACAGCATCTGTGAAATATACTCGTGAGTTTTTAACTGTTATGGAAAGCAATATTCAGGTAATTCTATTTTGAATTTTATGAAGAAGAAAACAAACATCAAGAATGTTAAAATTTTGGGAGTTGCCCATTGCTATTAAGCTTATGTTTCCTTGTCTATCCATAGTACTCATTGATCCTTTCTGAAGAAATCTCCAGAGAAGTAAATTATATTACAAGTATCTAAACACATAGCTTCCTTTTCCTTTCAGGCACAATTAATACATAAAGTTATTTTGAAGTATGCTGTACATATTTCTCATCCTCCTATTGAAGAGTATCTCAGAGCACAGCTACAGGAGAGAGTCTATACAGGTGTAACAGAAAAAATTGTTTGGATACAGGCTATAGAAAAACATTTCAGATTCTGATATTATTATAATAAGAGTTACTCAAACATATGTAATTAAAAATATAAAGAAAGAAGAGACCATGTAGAAGAACAGCGGAATTTGTCTCAGTTAAAAGGATAAGCTTCAGGCTATTATCTAGCAAATTACTACTACTAAATATGTTTAAATATTCTCCAGCACACTCACCTCTTTTTGACGGTACTTAATTGCCAGTTTCAATCTTGCAAGATCATTGCCACTTTGTTCTTCTATCAAGCTATTATCGTCTCTGTAATTAAGAATAATTTCCAATTCCCTGGAACTCCGTGTCTGATCCAGAAGATCTTTTGCAAATTGCTTGCACTGCCGCGACAGTTCCTCGTATTCTGACTTAAATTCATTTTCAACTTTACTCAGTTCCTGCAGCTCCCAGCTTAGCTGAAAAGCAGTAAGGAAAGGATCCTCACTGGACAGAGCAATCAAAGATGGGCTCGCCAGAGCCTTGTAGATATTGAGCCTAGATCGAGAGTGCCGAAGGCTGTCCACATCCGAACTCGAGACACACTCAACGCAGTTACAGCGGACCTCGTGTGGCCTGGGCACAGAGACCCCCTTCTGCACGAGGAGTTTGATGATTTCATAGTTGTTGGTGTGAGCAGCCAGAATAATGGGTGTGATATCTGGTGTGAATTCTGAAAACTGCTTGTCCAGAAGTATTGGTGGGACCTATAAGAAAAGGCAAAAACTGTTACAGGCTTCTTAATTGAATGAGAGCTACAGAAAATTATGCTACAGATAATTTACCAGCTTGTACTGTTACTGATGGATCTTTGCTTGTGGCCAGAAGAGAAGGAAACCCTTTAAACATAACAATTCAATTAGCCAAGATAGCCTCTCTTCAATTAATAAAATGCATAAAGAGAGTTTGATTTTTAATAAAACCTGTTTGTACGTAAACAGCCCACAGGCAGCAATTTGTTAGTGCAAATAAGTAAACAAACATGTCAGATACAAATGTTCTTGTCAGGTGTGTTGAAGCGCGAGCTGTGAGAAAGATGGAAATACTTTCTGATTTCTCACTGGTTAATCTCACTTTTATAAGAGAGAGCCATGGAGGCATAATTGTGATTCTCTGAAGGAAGCAGTGAACAGGATACAACAAGCTTGAGTTGCAAAATAAAAAGGGCAAATCAGTGTGAAAGAAAACATACAGTTGCAGAAGGAGAATGTTACAAACGGGACTGTGTAGTGAAACAAAGGTACTGGCTGAAAAGATTTCACTAGACTCAGTTTTACATTCACGTGTGCAGATAAATGTATTCTTATAGGAAAACAGGAGTAGGGGTTATCAAGAGGTAACACAGGGTCCCAAGGGAGGAAACATCACTGTGGATTTAGTTTTCTGTTGTGGTCCACAACAGAACAAAACATTTTAACAAAACATTGCAAGGTGTTTATTTTTAACAAAACATTGCAAGGTGTTTATTTTTAACCTTGTTTCTATTCTTTACAACATCTGACTCTAAATATTTTGCATATCAGGACATCTCATTAGATTAGTACGACACATAAGTGTAATTAGTCAATATCAATAAAAAAAATGGTGCTGACAGCAGCATTTATGGACAACTTTTTGTTCTCCATTTGGCAATCAAGTACAAACTCAATCTGCTTCAGCTTGGAAAAGACAAATATTAATCCAAGCTCATGAGTTTGATATGCACCTGAGTATATAGACTTGTCTGATGTATATATCTGTTTTCTCTTGTCTGTGATGTCACTGAGCAAAATGAGACACTTCCAATCCTCAAATCTCACTAGTTATTTTAGTTTTAGATTTATCTTCTCTGTTACTTGCACATTATACAGACAAAAAAAGAGAGCACATGAACACACATACATGCATTGTTCCTGCTCTCTGAATCACAACTATATAAATCAATGTTTTTTTAGGCTAGAAAAAAATGAAAATGGCAGTAGTGGCTCAAAGACTGCATAAGGAGAAGTGAGCTTTTGGTGATCTGGCTGAACAAAGGTTTTCTGGGAGGGATGTGTTGTGCCTCTGCCATCATCCACTGCAGCCAGTGAGTTCCCCAGCCCTCAAGCCTGGGTAACAAGGAAGACACAGAGGCAACAGCTGGAAGGGCAGAAAGCTGAAGGATAAAAAGACATAGCTCCAAATCTTAGCAACAGTTCAGGGCATGCCTGTGTCACTTAGCATGTTATTATCTTTGTGCTATCTGACAGTACTAAACTAATATTTGCTTCCAGCACTGCCAGAATTGAAAACTATCGCAACATGTCATTAACCTCAATCTTTTCTGAAATGTTAACGGAGACACAACTCTAAACAACATGGTATTACAGTGATTGACTTGTGTATGGGATTCTTAAACTCAAAACTTGCTTGTTTTTCTCCTTGTTTGTAAAAATATTTCATCTTAAAGAAACTCGGCTGTAAGGCTGATGCACACATTTTGGAATTCATTCCATCACAGTTTACCCAAATATAGAAATGTGCATTAAATCATTTCAGCCTTAACTTACAATGACATTTAAGCTTAAAGGGCAGACCCTGAGACTGCAATTTTAATTACATCATGAATTTAACCTCAGAACCTTTACATCCTATTTTAAGATTTCCTTCTCACTTAAACCAAAGATATTAAGAATGCCAAAGCAATAAGGTCAAATTATTTCCTCATCAGCAGCATAATGAAGAACTTACATTCTGAACTTATAGAATCATAGAATCACAGAACTGCTCAGTTTGGAAAAGACCTTAAAGATCATCAAGTCTAACTGCAACCTAAGCATACTACCCTAAAGTTATGAGTACTTGCTCTGAAGTCACTAGACCTACGAAGAATTTTACTTCCACAATACTGAAGTACAATTTCCTTTAAAGAAGCCAAAACAAATAATCAGCACTCAATGATATCAGCCACCCAATCTAAATCTTTGACAGTGCATTCGCAGAAAATATATGATTCTTCCTTAAATCCTGGGAGGACAGAAAGCTACTAGGTCTTACAGACACTGACTGTGACTGTAACTCCCCAAGGCTCAGAAGGGGTGTGAATACGAGGTACACGTTGGAGTTAATATGTCAACTGTGAGGCTGCTTAAACTTAGAAAGGTCAAATGATATTTGCCTTCTTTTTTGTTGAATTATTTTTCCTATTTCAACTTTATTTATAGGGCTGAGCAAAGCAGTACTTTTATGTACATCTGTATGGGGATGAATAGGAAAAAAACCATCAGAAAAGAAAGAAAGCATGCCACAAATCTGTACATTCCATTGTTCAGGGACATGAGGTTTTTTTAATTGCATTCGTTTCCCCTGTGCTTGTTGTAATTGGGAATGAGTCAGTCTCACTTAGATACCTAAGAATTTTTTAGATACCAATTGAAACAGCCATCTTAAATATGTGTTTAAATTCCCTTTATGGCTAGTGTGAAGTCCCTTTGCTATGACAGAAAGAGAAATCTGGTGTAAATTAATGCCAAACAGGTCTGAGACATTTTGTCCTAGAGGTAGAGAAATAGATAGTCACTCTGGAAAAAGAAGGAATAGAAACCCTAGGTATGTTTTTGTCTCCATTTAGATTTCTCATAATAATTTTCATTCCTGCAGTACCCTAACAGAGAGATTTAAAAACCCCAATGTCCTTTTCTTTCTTTTTTTTAGGTGCAGGAGACCAGAATTTATGTAAAGAAACCCGTTTTCTTGGATAGTTCAGTTCCTATTTAGTTTGCTTGAGTCATGCCTTTATAAAGACATATATACATGACAGATAGCAAAATGAATACATATGTTCTCTGATGGAGTAAAAAATTATATTAGGAAATTAATATTACAGGGTGTATTATCAAGCTCATGAATTAGTTCAGAACTATTGTTCTACAACTGTCAATCAACCAAACATCCTGGAAAGACTGAACTTTGACTTTCTGTACAGGCCACAGCATACAAGATATCCCTATGCATATATAGTTAACTGATTCAGACTCTAGTTAGTTGATTTCTTCTGTTCCTTAGTTCCACATTATTAGATTATCAGCTGAAAAAAAATGAAAATTTCAAAACTTCAAAATAACTCCCTACTCCAACTCCTTTCAAATGCACTAAGTTCCTTATAAACTTCTATATAATTTACAGGTATAACTTCAAGTTGCCACATCACTGGAAGAGTGTAGATCTTGTTTATCCTGAAAGCTGAAACTATCTTCACAGTTCTGCACAAACTGCAGGCTCACAATGGTGTCCCAGATATGGGGAAATGTTCTTGTTCCCATGCCAGGATACTTGCTGTGCCTTGCACAGCTGGAGTGTTGCTTAGTTACTGAGCATCAACAGCAGTCAGGTGGATGGAAGTTGCCAAAATGAGCTCAAGAAAAACCTCACTTCAGAGCAGTGTGTGTGATACATACCATGTAACAGCCATCTGCTATATTGTCATTTTCATGCTTTCTGTAGGTAGCTTCCCTGGCCTCTCTGAAAAGGATTCAACTTGTTAATTACCCTTGAACTCCCTACATTTGCTAAAAGATATGTGGAGGTTAAGTACCAAATGCTTAACGTAAACTGTTTTTCCTTTTTTTTTTTTTTTTTACAAAATTCTCCCTCTGCATCTAATTTTTTCTACATCTAATTTTGGTCAGAAACAGATGTACCCACAAACCCTCATCCTTGCTCCAAGACATTGTAAATTAACTAACAGGAGCCCAGAGACTGAATGAAATGCACAGCAAGCTATAAATGTGCAATGAAATTCAAATTTCATAGATATTGTATCTCCTTGAAAATGCACACTTTGAATACTAATTAAACACCTGAAATGCTGCCCATGTAAGTTCAGCACATAAGATTTCATTACAAATTTTACAAATTACGTTCTTTAACATTTTCACACTCACAGTTCAGCTCAATACTGTACAGATGCTTAATGCTCCTCTTCCTTTTTTTCTTCTGGCATCTGTCCACAAGCAACAGAGATGAAAGAAATGGGGCAGGACGTCTGAGGTCAAGTGATGTTTATTGTTTTGGGTCTGAATTAAATATTAATTGTTAATGTATATTTAAAATATCAAAATATTGATTCTTATTTAAAATATATTAAGAATTCAAATTACTAGACATGTAAGGCCACCGCCCACTTGTGTTAAATTATAGGATCTGTTTCACAGCAAAATGGAAGGAGTGATTAGCCAAAATGAAATCTTAGCCACTAACTCTGCGGTGGGAAGATTTCTTTGGCTGCAGTTTTGAAATAGAAGTGTCTTCTGTCAGATTCCAAATGCTGATGTGAACAGAAAAAGTGGGAGATGCATTTCAGGTGAAAAAACAGTCAACTTGACTTAAGGTAGTAGCAGCTGGCAACTCATCTGGACCTCAGGACACAAGATTTGTTCCCAGTTCTGATGGTCACTTTAGGTTGCCTAAGCAGACAATCTCTTTCTGCTTTTCCTAGATGTGTCTATTTTTTTGAACAAATGATTCTGAAAAAGCAGAATTTTATGAAGATTTAGCAAAAAATAATAATTCAACCTCAGATTTTGGTGTGGGCATATCTGAACAAAGGATTCTGTGCTCTTTTCTCTTTTTTTTTTTTTTTTTTTAATTTTGAAACTGAGCTTCACTCCAAAACTTGCCTATAACAATAGAAAGGACCAATACCCTGAATTTGGATTTAGATAAAATTATCATGATGAAACTCTTTTAT